AGTCGGTTGAGTGTCCGACTTTGGCTCAGGTCATGATCTCGCGGTTTGTGGGTTCGAGCCCCGCGTCGGGCTCTGTGCTGACAGCTCAGAGCCTGGATCCTGCTTCGGATTCTGTGTCTCCCTCTCTCTCTGCCCCTAACCCACTCGCGTTCTGTCTCTGTCTCTCTCAAAGATAAATAAACATTTTTTTTTTAATTTAAAAAAAAAATTGGAGAAGTCAGCAATACAAATATCTGGGAGAAGAGCATTCCAGGCAAGGGTAAGAGTAAGGGCAAAGGCCCTGAGATGGCAGCTTGTCTGAGGTGTCTAGGGAACAGCAAGGAGGCCAGGATGACTAGGGTGGAGAAACTGAAGGTAGGGGATTAGGAGATAATGTCAAAGTCAGATCATAAAGGCCTAGTAGGTCAAACAAAGGATTTTAATTTTTACTCTGAGAGAGGAAGACATTGGAAGAGTATGTATATTTGTATGTATGTATATATGATTTACTGAAATGTAATCTCTATGTCTAAGGTGGGGCTTGCACTCAGGACCCCAAGATCAAGAGTCACATGCTCTTCCAACTAAGCCAGGAAAAGCCGCTGGAGAGTTTTAAGCAGAGGGGCAATTTGACATGATTTTTAACAGACTCACTCTGACTACTGTGTTGAAATATGCTGCAGAGGGCAAGGACAGAAGCAGGAAGACCAGTTAGGGGCTGTTTTTAATATTCAAGAGAGATAGAGAAGAGTTAGGATAATATCATGATTAACGCTTTTTGAGGGCCTGTTTATTTAAATTTTTTTTCTGTAAAGAGAGTTATAACAACACAATGTATAAAGTGTTTTATTTTGAAACTCAGTATCCTAGGATTCCTATGACTTAAGAGCCTCTTTCAATAGCACATCTAAACCTAAGGCCCAGAGAATAATTGACAAAACCAAAACTAAGATTTAAATTCTAGTCCTATACCCCTCTTTCATCACTTAGCAGATTTATACAATTAAATTGACTAGGGAAGAAGAAAATAGTCAATCTGTGCATCTCCAATACAATTCTGTGATTTTTACTCTTGAACTATGTTCATCACATAAAATCCAGGATGCTCAGTGAAAATTTTATTTCAGATGAAGGATGAATAATTTTGTAATATAAGTATATTGCAAATGTTGCATGGTACAATATTAAAAGAATTATTGTTTATCTGAAATTCAAATTTAATTGGGCATTTTGTGTTTTTATTTGCTAAATCTGGTAATTCTGATATGGGAAACAAAGGCAAATGAAAAATTAGATTTTCTTCTTGCCTACAGCCCATTGACAAGTTCTTGAAATACAGTGACCTTTCTCTGGGAGCTCAGCTGCTTCGATATTGACACTTTGGGCAAAAAGCAATTTTAGCTTAATATTATCCTGACCTCCCAGGATCCTATAAATCTTCTTTAGCATATGAAAATCCCTTTGGAAACTTCCTTTATCTCTACTCCCTCAAGATATATGTTAGCAATCATTCTCCAAACATATTGCCCACTGATAAACATCTAAAGGTCTCACGACTAAGGTTTTACTAGACAGTTAGTAAATGACTTTATCCTAACAGCAGCTAGCCCCTCAAGGTCCTGGAAACCTTGCCTCCAAATTCCTTAGAGACTTATGCTATCCCTAACTCCCTCCCCACTTGAAAGTATACAATCTGTCACCCAACACAACCTCAATGCAGCTCTTTCTGCCCATGGGTCCTGTCCCTGTGCTTTAATTAAACCATCTTTTTGCACTTAAGAGGTCTCAAGAATTCTTTCTTGGCCATTGGCTCTGAACCCCAACATTTTCAACATCAACCCTATCCTTAATAGATTAGATTTTTAATATTTTTTCTGTTCTTTATTTAAACCTTACCTTTCTGGTGAGGGTAGCTGAGGAGGAGGTATAATTAGCTTGGGCTGAAAGTGAGAGACTTCTCTCTTTTTGAATAATCTTTTGGCTTTGGCTTTTAGCTTTCTTCTTCGTTGCTTGAACTTGGGCATGATTTCTGTAGAGAAAAAATTTTTTTACATTTTTTATTTTAGAATTATATATACATATAGAAAATGCACAAATCTTAACAGTACAGTTCAATGAATTATCACAAAGTGAGCACATCCTTGTAACCAACCACCATGGTTAGGAAATACATTGCTACTAGCATCCTGGAAGTCCCCTGACGTGAAGAAAAATTTAAACCCAGATTTGAAGTATCTTTAGAGAGACTCAGCTTTGGCATTATATTACTCTCTAATTTTGTTTTGCTTGTCTTGCTTTTCTTCATTAAGTCAAGTGTATTTCCCTTTCTTATAACAGAGAAAACGGCTCGAGTTGGTATTAAAAGAAGTTTCTTTACCAGTAACATTTACTGAGCATCCACTGTGATAGGTAGAGTAGGTAGTGGAAGAAACAAATTTAACCATTGAATGCCCACTTACTTTTATGCACCTTCACATACATTTTTTCAGTGACTCTTCACTGAATAAATCCTGCAAGATTTTATCCCTGGGGAAGAAGATTTTTATTCCTATTTTTACATAAAAGTAAACTGAGACATAGAAAGATTAGATGATTTGCCCAATGTAAAGCAGTATATAAGTAAGTCTACAAAGACCATGTTCTTTCTAACACTCTATCATGCAACAGTAGATTAAATAGGAGATATACAATGTAATAAGTTACCCCAAATCTAAGACATGGGTGCTTCAAAACATTTATTTTAAAGCATTTTAAAACACCATCTAGTGGTAGATTTTAATCTAGATTCTTTTCTGAGGAAAATTAACTCAGAGCTACTTTGATGAGAAGAAGGGCTTTGCTGGTTTCAGTTGTTGCTACCTGAAGAACAAAGATGTCTTTATTCAAGTAGCAGAAATAAAAATGGTCTCAAGGGCTGGGCCTCCTTCTTTTCAAACTTACATTTGAATAGGAACAATTGGCCTTTAAAATACACATTCATTCCACTTTTGTTCACCCAGTAACCTTTCAATAATTGGTATGCAGTTGTAGGCTTGCTCAGCTCTCAGATTGCACTGGTTGAAGAAACCCAGCCTTTTACCCACTGTGGATTGTAAAAACCCAGAAGCGGCTTACTGTAGTTCCAAGAGCTTTGGACTTGCAGAGGGCACCCCTAATGGCAATGGGTGACAGTGCATATTATCAACAGCTCTTCCAGGAGTAAAGTTTCCTTACAGCATCTTAATTGAATTGATGCCAGGTCTCAAACTAACAGTGTTTCCTTAATTGTTCTTAGACGCTTGGGAGACACACTGAAAAATACTTAGCTGACTTCACCTTTATTATATCACTTCTCCTTCCTGCTGAAATAATAAAAGAAGGCCAAGCAAGGATTGTTAAATACAAAGGATGGCTAAAGGATTGATTGATTTTTTCTAAACAAACTTAAAATAACACAAAACGGAAATACTCTGAATGAAGAAGTTTAGGGAAGCCTCAGAGGAAGCGGCAATCTTGTGGTTGCCTGAAAAGAAGATTAAACCTCATCAAACTCACGCCCACAACTTTCTATGGAGAAATGTCACTGGGAACCTCTCTCTAAGGTGCAGAGTTCACTGGTTGAAATCCCCAGAACCTGAGACTTCCATGGTAAACTCCTCTTCCTTGTCTTCTATCTGCCCTCCTCTACACAGCCCTCCCCCTTCTGTTCCCTCTCTCCCTTTGATGTCTTTTGTTAGACATCAAACTGACACAGAGAACTGGCCTCCTGCCTCTTTTTTCCCTTATTCTCACCAACCCCTTAGTTATAAAAATAGATTTTAAAGAAAGGAGCTGGACATTCTCATTTAAACTTGGTTCTATACCTTTATCTCCACTCCAGTGGTATGCTGGGATTGGCATCAACTGTTACCTTTTCAGGAAATCTGCGAGTTAGTTGTTAAACACATCCACCATTAAAATTAAGTTATATAAGCTTATAATTAGATAATTTATATTTAAAATGGTAATAAATATGATGTAAAACTCATCACTCTCTAATGATTTTACTATTATCTATGCTTTTGAGGTTATTCACCTTATTGTATCTATATAGTGAAAATGCTATAGAATGTTCATTTCTGTCCAACCCCATATTCAATGACTTCATATTGAAAACCTGAAATTGCCTATGATGGGAGTATTTACACAATGAATATTAAAAAAACACTACAGGGACACCTGGGTGACTCAGTCAGTTAAGCAACCAACTTAGGCTCAGGTCAGGTCAGGTCATGATCTCAAGGTTTGTGAGTTATAGCCCCATATAAGGCTCTCTCTTGTCAGTGCAGAGCTGCTTTGGATCCTCTGTCTCCCTCTCTCTGATTCTTCGCCCCCCCCCCACCACCCCCACCTCAAAAATAAACACTAAAAATTTTTAAAAAACAACAACATTACAAATCAGGGCTTGATTCATTATGTTGTTGACTGTTAAGAAAGTGATAAAGAAAATGTTAATAATGCAGATTAAATTTAAAATCATATGTTGTCTGTAGTTGTTACGTTGTGAATAGCATTAAAAAATTGAGAAATGGGGCGCCTGGGTGGCGCAGTCGGTTAAACGTCCGACTTCAGCCAGGTCACGATCTCGCGGTCCGTGAGTTCGAGCCCCGCGTCAGGATCTGGGCTGATGGCTCAGAGCCTGGAGCCTGTTTCCGGTTCTGTGTCTCCCTCTCTCTCTGCTCCTCCTCCGTTCATGCTCTGTCTCTCTCTGTCCCAAAAATAAATAAAAAACGTTGAAAAAAAAAATTGAGAAATGTTCCAGTATTTGAAAACTAGTATTTGATTCATCAAAGTTGCTTATACAACAGAAGTGAAGTTCCAAAGAAATCTTTGTGATTCACTTTATCTTATTCTATAGAATAATAAATGAAAATATCAACTGACATTCCTATTAGGACTATACTTGTTTATAAATTGCAACCATAGGTTGTCTACTGATACAAGAAATCGGTAAAAATCAACAATAGTATTCTCTGAAAATCAGCTGTATATGAAATTTACAAGAAAGAATATTATAGGGGTACCTGGCTGGCTCAGTAAGTTGAGCATATGATGATTGATCTCAGGGTCAGAAGTTCAAGCCTCACGTTGGGTGTAGAGGTTACTTAAAAATAAAATCTTAAAAAAAAACAAAAAGTCAGTAAAGAAATAAAAAAAAATTATAAACCCATGAAGCAAAGAATGGGAGCAGACTATCACAGATGATGCATGTTGACTAAATTATGGAAAATGGAAAGGAGATGGATGAATGGTAAATGACTTGGCAGAGTAGAAGAGAGCTGAGGCTTGACGGCCGGTGGTAGGGAAGCCAACTGGAAGCAAGATAATTTGTAGAAACTTTAATAAGATTCTGGACTTAAAGGTACTTAGCACCTTTTAAAGTGTAGGGTGGGGTTAAAATAGGCTTAATTAAGTCATTATAAGGATTGGATAGGCTTCTGGAGTCTGTCTTCCAGTCCTGGTAGCCAGGCAGCTCCTGGCATTTATGTTCTCTCCTGTAAAGATGGATAGGTTTATTCTCTGGAGAAGTTGAACCATAGGGGTGTTGAATTGTGGGCCATCAGCCATAGCAATAGCAGAGTCATGTGTGTATTATCATGCAGCAGGTAGGGGACAAACCTGAACTCAAAAGTGAGACTTTTAATTCCCTTCCTCAGCTCAGCTTCCAGAACACAGGCCACTGATTTTAATTTCGTGACTCAAACCCTCATGCCTTTCATTTCCCTTGCAGGAGGTGAGAAGATTCCTCTCCAGGGAAATTGGCTACCCCCCAAAAAAGGACCTACAGATACTGACATTTAGGGTCTCCCCAAAATGGCTAAGTGGTTGATCATTTACCCACTGTGGTATCACACAAGTTGATAATATCCACCTCCTGTACTTTGAGCTTCCAATTTTTTTTGTGTGTGACTTCCTCTGACATACAACAGCCAAAGATCATGAATCACTTTAGGAAAGTCTCTAACATGAAAGACAAAGACCAAAATAAACAGAGGGGAAATAAAAGTCTTTCCATTTCAGAGGAAATGGAAAGGATATAGGAAGCAGAAGAAAACTTAAAAATTTTCAGGAAGTGGGATATTGCAGGGACACCTGGGTGGCTCAGTCAGTTAAGTGTCTGACTCTTGATTTCGGCTCTAGTCATGATCTCATGGTTCATGAGATTGAGACTGGCGTTGGGCTCTGCACTGACAGCATGGAGCCTGCTTGGGATTCTCTCTCCCTCTGCCTCTCTCTCTCCAAATAAATAAATAAACTTTAAAAAAAAAGAAAGAGAGAAACTGTATTCATGAAACAAGAAGGATGAAAAAAACTCTTAAAAATTAAAAGCAGTAGAAATTTTAAAAATGTAATACAACAGTTGGAAGATAAAAGTGTTAGGAGAGAACAGAGGAATGGAGAGAATTTTATCAAATAAACAATACAGAAATATTCCCTAGAACTGAAAGGCTTGAATTTTCTGTTTGAAATGGTCCATTCAGTATAACAAAAGAAGATCCACACTGAGGCATATCATCACAAAAATAAAGAGGAGATTCTAAAGGCTTCATGAGGGGCGCCTGGGTGGCTCAGCTGGTTGAGCGGCTGAGCATCTGACTTCAGCTCAGGTCATGATCTCATAGTTTGTGAGTTTGAGCCCGGTGTCGGACTCTGTGCTGACAGCTCAGAGCCTGGAGCCTGCTTCAGATTCTGTGTGTGTGTGTGTCTCTCTCTCTGCCCCTCCTCCACTCACGCTCTGTCCCTCTCTCTCTCTCTTTCTGCCCCTCCTCCACTCACGCTCTCTCTCCCCTTCAGAAATAAACATTAAAAAAAAAAATTAAAGGCTTCATGAGATAAAAAAACAGTATAGATACAGAGGTCTGAGAATAGAATGGCATCAGACTTCAACAGCCACACTTCTGAAGGAAATGTTTTCCATCCTGGAATTTTATACCTGGTCACACTTTTAGTCAAGTGTGAGGACAGCATTAAGATAAACAGTGGCAATTTCCAGGGTAATAGTGGCCAGAAGTCATTGGAAGACAGCTTTGAAGCAGGCCTAGGGCAGGAGTCAGCAAACCTTTTCTGTAAAGGGCCAGATAATAAATATTTTGCGCTTTGTAAGCCACCTGGTCTCTACCATAACCACTTAACTCTGCCACTGTAGCATCCAAACAGCCATGGACAGTACTTAAAACAAATGAGTATGGCTGTGTACCAATAAATTTTTTCAATAAATTTTATTTATTGCCACTGAAATGTGAATTTCATATAATTTTCAGGTGTCACAAAATATTCTTCTTTTGATTTTTCTTCAACTATTACAAATTATAAAAAAAAACATTCTTAGCTCATGGGACTACAAAAACTGTAGTTTGCTAATTCCTGTCTTAGAGCACCCACAGCCAGTGAAGTGAGCAAGACCGATAGCAGGCTTCAGTAACATTGTCTCTAAGGAAAAAAAAGGGAAACCAATAAATTACCTAGTGTATTGACCTTTCTGAGCTGAGTTTACCGTTCTTCTGTAAAATTGGGGCCAAATTATTGATAAATGCTTTTAAAAAAGCATTTAAAAATGAGTAGGAAAAAAGTTATAAAAGAAAAAAATGTAATCATAGTAACACTTATATGTTCAGCTGTTACACAGTATTTAGTAGCAAAGCCACTGATTGTTTATTTAGCCAAAAACATGGTATAGGTATATTGTGAAGATAGGAGAGAAAGTGGAAATCAGTAGTTTTCCAATTTATATAAGTGTTTAATACTGAAGAGAAAGAAGGAAAGGAAGGAAGGAAGGAAGGAAGGAAGGAAGGAAGGAAGGAAGGAAGGAAGGAAGGAAAATAGGAAAGAAGGAAAGAAAAAAGTTAGAAAAGAAATAGTTTTGTAAGCATGTCTTTTAGAATCATGGAGGTAAATAACAGAAACAATTATAAGAATGGATAGTAATTGCCTTTGGCAAGTGGGAGTCAGGATTATAAAGAGATGATTCAGAGGACTGCTATTTGTTTCTAACTATAATAAGTCTTGCATTCGACAGTTAATCTCTGGTATATATTATATTTGTATTAAAAAATAAAAAAAACTTTAATGTTTATTTATTTTTGAGAGACAAAGAGAGTGCAAGTGGGGAGGGACAAAGAGAGAGGGAAACAGAATCTAAAGCAGACCCAAGTCTCTGAGCTGTCAGCACTGAGCCTGATGTGGGGCTTGAACCCACAAATCATGTGATCATGACCTAAGTGGAAGCTGGACGCTTAACTGACTGAGCCACCCAGGTGCCCCCCTGCCAAAAATGTTTTTAATGTTTATTTATTTTTGAGAGACAGAGAAGAGAGCATGAACAGGGGAGGGACAGAGAGAGGGAGACACAGAATCCAAAGCAGACTCTGGGCTCTGAGCTGTTAGCACAGATCCCGAAGCAGGCCTCTAACCCACCAACCATGAAATCATGACCTGAGCCAATTAACCGACTGAGCCACCCAGGTTCCCCTCTGGTATATATTATTAGCTAGAAAAATAGAGTACCACCATTCTGAAACTGAGCCATCTCTTTCTAGCCCTTTTCTGGTGGTTTTACCAATGCCCATTCATTCAAATTTCTAAAGAGTCCTATAGAAGCTGATGTATGCCATTTTGGAGATAATTTTTCAATGAAAAAAAAATCTAGGAACTAAATCATATTTTCTCCTTTCTATTCTGTGTGTGTGTGTGTGTGTGTGTGTGTGTGTGTGTCCCCTGGGCTCTGAGTCATTGTTACTCTAATAACCTTTTAATTAAACACAGTAATTGGCACATGCAGAGAATTGAGAGAATATGTCAAATCTGTCAAGGTAAAAAGGTTCAGTCTGAGATAATTCCTAGATTAGTGT